GTATAAATCAAAGTAGGGTAAGTGATTACCAAGTTGGTAAGGAATAAGATCCATCTTGAATTCTTTTTTTTTTTTTTTTTTTGAGACAGAGTCTCCCTCATGTCGCCCAGGCTAGAGTGAGTGCCGTGGCGTCAGCCTAGCTCACAGCAACCTCAAACTCCTGGCTCAAGCAATCCTGCTGCCTCAGCCTCCCGAGTAGCTGGGACTACAGGCATGCGGCCACCATGCCGGCTAATTTTTTGTATATATATTTTTAGTTGGTCAATTAATTTCTTCTATTCTTTGGTAGAGACGGGGTCTCGCTCAGGCTGGTTTCGAACTCCTGACCTTGAGCAATCCGCCCGCCTCGGCCTCCCAAAGTGCTAGGATGCAGGCGTGAGCTACCGCGCCTGGCCTCATTCTTGAACTTCTGATGCTTTTTTTTTTCCCCTGAAGGCTGGAAATCACTGTAGCTTGTAAAATAACAAAAACAACGTAGCTAAAACTTAGAGCACTTACAATACGGTGGGTCTAAGTGCTTTCTGTGTGTAACAGCATTTAACTTTGACCATCGTTATATTAATAGAGTCCCCATTTGACAGATGGGAGAACTGAGGCTCAGAGACCTAAGCAAGTCATTTGTTTGGGGTCATAAAGATACCAAGGGCTGCCGTTGGGGTTATCTCACGTTATCTAATTATATCTCCACCCTCACAATAACCCCATGAAGGAGATAATAGCCACCTTTTACAAGTGAGAAAACTGAGGCTCCCGTTTCTTTCCCACTCTAGGCGACATAACTCCAGAGCAGCTGAGCCAGAACAGTCCCCAGCTGTAGGGACTCCTAGTTAGTGTTTTGCTAAATCTACAGCCGCTACAATTCCCTAAAGTTGTCTGACAGTGGACTAGGATAGATTATTTGGGTATGGGGCCCAAACACAAGAATCATCTCTTTGGAAACCATCTTTTTTCCAATTCGTGATGATGTCTGTTTCAACTACTCAACTCGGCAGAAGCAGCCGCAGACGATGTTTAAACAAATGGATGTGGCTGTGTTCCAATAAAACTTTATTTAAATATTATAAAAACAGGTGGTGGGCCCGATTTGGCCCATGGTTTGCTGACCTCTGACATAGATATTCACTGTTAACTTTTCTTTTTTTTTTTTTTTTTTTCAGTCTCACTTTGTTGCCCAGGCTAGAGTGAGTGCCGTGGCGTCAGCCTCGCTCACAGCAACCTCAAACTCCTGGGCTCAAGCGATCCTCCTGCCTCAGCCTCCCGAGTAGCTGGGACTACAGGCATGCGCCACCATGCCCGGCTAATTTTTTCTATATGTATTAGTTGGCCAATTAATTTCTTTCTCTTTATAGTAGAGACGGGGTCTCGCTCTTGCTCAGGCTGGTTTCGAACTCCTGACCTCGAGCAATCCACCCGCCTCGGCCTCCCAGAGTGCTAGGATTACAGGCGTGAGCCACCGCGCTTGGCGGTATCCTCTTGAGTGACTTCATGTCCTTATTTTCAAAAAGAAACATATATTACTCTTCTTTTGTTATTAATACATGCTCATCACAACAAAGAAGTCAACAAACCCGCAAAAAAATACACGCAAACTGTTCGGAAGGGTATAAAGTGAGTGACGTGCTTACTCTGTTTCCTCCCCTTTCATGTTGGCAAGTAAGCCTTTGCGGTTCTCCGGTCACTTGCCTGCAGGGCAAGGTCTCTGGAGAGGGAGATTTGACTGGCTAAAGTGCCCACGAAGCCAGGGCGACCAGCACTGACATTGCCAAGCTCAGTGATTAAAGAGCGGGAAAATTATGGAAAGGAGGAGATTTGTATGTATCCACTTAGATTCACTGTTTTACAAGTAATGGAAAATCCAGACCAGATGGGCTTCAACTCAAAAGGCCATTGTAGACAAAAAGTCCAAAGGGGATCAGGCTTCAGGTAGGGCTTGATCAAGTACCTCAAATCATGCCACCACAGAGACCCGTTTCTCTCCATCTCTCTATCCTACATCCTATGGTGTTCTGGGCATCCTCCTGAAGTTCCATCCATATGCCTCTGGAAAGTTCCAGACTCCCATAAGATGGCAGTGAGCTTTGGCCAACATTGTAACCTGGGCATCTTATACCTCCACCTCCCGAGAAAGAGAGAAGAGCCGTGATGATGATGGGCCCTGCCTAAGGCGAGAGAAGTCCCAGCAATGTCTCCCCTATCTCATTGGCTCAGAGAGGCTGACACACCCATTTCTAGACCAATCACATGGCTAGGGGCGGGCCCATCCGAGCCCAGTCCTGGAGACAGGAGTAGGCGTGGTCCCACTGGGCCACGTGGATTGAACGAGGACAGGCAAGGAGTGGATTCCCAAAGATACCTGGGAGGGGACTGGCTGCTGGGCAGAGACAGTAAGATGTCTTTTCTGGCATCTTCTGGAATCCATCTCTCCCAGTCCCTGGCAAATCACAGAGTCAAAGGCACCTGTCCAACAACTTTATGCCATTTTCCAGATGCTCCCGAATTCGCCCAATCAGAGACAAGGCCAGCACTGAGCCTGGAAGAGCTCGGGTGCCCTCTGTTTTCACGTCTCCATGGGGTCACTTCCCCTCTGAAGGGTCACAGAAAAATCACAGAAAACCATTTTAGAGTGTCTATTTCCAAACGGCCATTGGACCCGTGGCAGTCGGTGAAATGAGAAAAAAAAGAACTATGCTAAATGCTGACTGTCTTGATTTATTGAGATATCCTTTTATGAGATGCCGGTGATTAGTGAATGATCATCATTTTGTTTTCTTATTTTCTTCACTTGCCATAAATAAAACATCCATGACATTTTTCCCATGGCTAAAGTTACATGTCTGGGAATTGCTGGCCTTTGGCACGAGCATAGGAAACGGGAAGAAAAAGCAACAGGAAAGCCTTTTAAGCAAATGTCTGGGCACTTAACACTGTTCGGAGGAAGGCAGACAGCACAGTTTTGCAAAAAAATTTTAAAAAAATATTTTTTTAAAAATTAAAAAACTAAAAAAAGGCAGAACATAGAACTACATAACATAACAAAAATCTGTGGATGAAAGCCAAAACACTTTGGACAACAAAAATAAATAGCCTAGAGTCTGGGCACAGTGGCTCCCACCTGTAATCCCAGCACTCTGGGAGACCAAGGTGGAAGGATCACTTGAGGCCAGGAGTTCCAGACCAGCCTAGGCAATATAGTGTCTCTACAAAAGAAATTTAAAAATTAGCTGGGCTTGGTGGCGCGCACCTGTAGTCCCAGCTACTCGGGAGGCTGAGGCAGGAGGATCGCTTGAGCCCAGGAGTTGGAGGCTGCAGTGAGCTATGATGATGCCACTGCACTATATCCAGGGGGACAGAATGAGACTGTGTCTCAAAAAAAAAAGAAAAAAAAAAAAAGAAAAAAAGGAAAGAAAGAAAAAAAAAAAACCAAGGAAAGATTACTGTGAAGTTGGGAGTGGGGGCTACTTAGAAGAGGGGAAGGGCTGGGATTTGGGAAGGCAGGGCTCGGGTGGGAAGTCTGGGCTGCGGCTTTCCAGAAGGAAACCACTGGGGGTTCCCGCCTGCCTGTCCTTTCTCTTTGGGAGCAGGTTGGCTTTCCGTCTCTTTTCATGTTTTCTTTATTTCTGTTGGTCTTGCCTTCGAGAGTGAATATCTGATTGGAGACTTATGTCCAGCCCCTACACCATCGACATGCACAGCAAAGCTGGATTTCTGCGACGCTCGTAACCGTGGCAGGGCACGTCCCCGATCCCGCTGTGGGTGTGTCTCGGGAGTGTGTCCCCAGCCCCTCCCGGTCCACCGCACCTCAGCTGCGGTTTCTTGGGCCTCTTCGAACCAGCCCATGTGTGGCTGGGCGTGGCGGTTCTAGTGGCGGTGCTGTCACCCACGAGCCGCCTGCCCCCCCTGTTTCCCGGGTGCCAAATTCCTTTCTTTAACTCAGCCAGAGTTGGTTCTGTCGCCTTGCGGGAGAGCGCTCAGGGCTGGGGCAAGGAGGCGCCCAGGGTCGTTCCAGGCTTTCTAAGCCAGATCTTGGTTGGAGCCCGGTGGTTTCACGTATTTTTTGATTAACAATGGTGCAGTGATACTCTTTCCGCAGAGGCCGTGCCCACCCCACCTTTCTGTTTTTCCCTTCGTGCAGTATTCCGTCACACAAAGCTCGTGGCTTTGTGTGGGTATGGCTGTTAATCTAGTTGGGGGCTGAAGGGTGGGGTGACTGGGGTCTCATGTGGCTCGGTTGCTGGCCCATGGGCAGAGTGGCTGTGTCTTAAACAAAAAAAAATCAATAGTTGGGTTATGATGATTTTGTCACTACTAACGTAAGTGTTATCAGGTTGATTTTAAAAAAAAAAAAAAAAAAAATTCTATTTTAATTTAATATTGATGGTTTTTGAGACAGGTTCCTGCCAGGCTGGAGTGGATCATCATGCGCCTCCAACTCTGGGCTCAAAGCGATCTTCGCCTAGCCTTCTGGTACGGGCGTGGCCCACCACCAATTTTAATATTTAACTTTTTTGTAGTGATGGGGTCTTGCCTATGTTGCCTTGTCTGTGTTCTGTATCCCAGGGCTCAGGCTCGCCCGGCCTCCCTTCTCTTGTCAGTTCTGCGTGGGTGGGACCACAACACCCGCGGGTTGTTGCCCGTGGCTCCCGGCTCGTAGGGCAAATTGTCTCTCCCCCCCCTCGTCTGTGGAGGGGCCCGCCACTCCCTGGGGCTGCAGGCCTCCATATCGGAGACCGGCTACACACTGGACGGGACCATCCAGTACCGACTGGTGAGCCGCACGCCAACCCCAGCGCGGCGGGACCAGGGAGGCGGCCTTGACGCTGCCTTGGGGTGGCCCTGTGGGGACCCTCCCTCCTCTGTCCCTTCCTTGCACATGCCAGGGCAAGGCGTGAGGGACGTGGTGAGGGGACGCCCAGCAGGGAGACGGTGGGCAGCCGCCGCCTGCACACGTGACACCACGGAGGTGCCACCCAGGGAAGGCTAAGACCCATGACGGGGAAGCCAGCCCAGCCCAGGGGGCGGCGAGGGAGCCGAGCTAGCTGGGGAAACTGAGGCATCGGGCCTGCAGAGGGAGGGGTGGTTGCTAAAAGAAAAGAAGAAAAAGGTTGCGTGGTGCCAGGGGCGTGGCCAGGCATGGACTTGGGGACCCGTGGGGACAGGCAGACCTGCCAGGGCTCGGGTTTGGCCTGGACCCCAGAGCCCAGGGAGGCATCGGCGGTGTCCATGGGACAGGGCTGCGACCAGCCGGGAGCCGGTCTCGGCAAACCCTTTGGATGAGCCGTTGTCACGTGACAGCTCCATAAGAGGGGACAACGATGTCACACCTCACTGTGGGTCCCCAAAGCAGGGTTGGGCCATCATTTCTATGAGCTTCCAGCAGCCTTTCACAGGCGGTGGCGTCAGAGCATAGGGGCCTGGACGGCTTCCGGCTCCTCCCCTCACCGTCCCCCTCTGACACCCCGTCTCTCCCACCGCCCTGATTGGGGGGTGCCCCGGGGACGCTGCTGCAGCTGGGGTTCCGCTCTCGGTCCCACAGGACATTTACTTGAAGCAGCAGCAGCACTGGGGCAGGACGGACCCCAACTTCACATCCAGGTGCGTCATCGCCAGGACAGGCAGGGGCCCCGGGCTGTCCGTGGGGGCTCCCCTGGGAGGGGCAGGAAGGAGCCAGGCAACGTCCGACCCTCACCTCCAGGAGGACACCCCAAGACGATTGCAAACTTCACAAATGTCGGTCCCTCAAAACCACTGCATGAGGAATGAGTGGATGGATGCACGAGGGGGGCGGGTGGATGAGTGGGTGAGTGTATGGATGGATGGATAAACGGATGAATGGGCGGGTGGGTGGATGGATGGATAAATGGATGAATGGGTGGGTGGATTAATATTTAAACCTTTTTTGTAGTGATCCGGGTCTTGCTATGTTGCCCCAGTCCCTGGTCCTCGAACTCCCAGCTCAGGCTCTGACCCAGGCCTCCCTTCTCTCTGTCAAGGTAATCTGCGTGGGCTGGGACAACAAACACCCGCGGGTGTTTGTTGCCCCGTTGTGCTCCCCGGCTCGTAGGCACAACTTGTCCCCCACCCCCCGCCAGGCGATGGTGAGGCCAACCCGCACTCCCCTGGGCCTGCAGGCCTCCCATATCGGCGAGACCGGTTCGCGCGGGACCATCCAGTACCGACTGTGAGCCGCACGCCAACCCCAGCCGCGGCGGGACCAGGGAGGTCGGCCTTGACGTCATGCCTTGGTGGCCCTGTGGGACCCTCCCCCTCTGTCCCTCAGAGAACATAGCACAGGAGCAAGGCGTGAAGGGAAACGTGGTGAGGGGACGCCCAGCAGGGGAGACACGGTGGCCAGCCGCCGCCTGCCACACGTGACACACGAGGTGCAAGGGAAGGCTAAGACCCATGACGGGGCAAGCCAGCACAGGGGCGGCGAGGGAGCCGAGCTAGCCGGGGAAACTGAGGCATGAGGGCCTGCAGAGGGGAGGGGTGGGGTTGCTAAAAAGAAAGAAGAAAAAGGTTGCGTGGTGGCCCAGGGGCGTGGCCAGGCATGGCTTGGGACCCGTGGGACACGGCAGACCTGCCAGGGCCTCGGGTTTTGCCTGGACCCCAAGAGGCCAAGGGAGCATCGGCGGTGTCCATGGGAACAGGGCTGCGACCAGCCGGGAGCCGGTCTCGGCAACCCTTTCTCGCCGATGAGCCGTCGTCCACTGCACGCTCTCATACAAGAGGGGAAACGATGGCACACCTCACTGTGGGGGGTGTGGTCTTTTGAGCTTCAGCAGCTTTCACAGGCGTGGGTCAGCAGCATAGGGACTGGACGGTTCCACGGCTCCTCCTCACGTCCTGACACCCCGTCTCTCACACCAGCCTGATTGGAGAGGGGCCAACACGGGGACGACTGCTGCAACGACTGGGGTTCCAGCATCCAGTGCCACCAGGACATTTACTTGAAGCCAGCAGCCACTAGAGAGAGGGACCGACGGACCAAACTTAATCACAATCAAGAAGGTGACGATACACATCGCCAGGACAGGCAGAAGAGACACAACCGGGAACATAACACACAGTGGAGAGAGAGGGCTCCCCCTGGGAAGGCAAGGCAGGAGCCAGCGCACGTCCCCGACCCTCACTCCAAGAGAGACACAACCGACGATATATTATAGAGACAACTTCACAAATGTCGGATCACATTATACACACACTGAGAGACATGAGGATGGTGTGTGCCGGGGGGGGACGAGTGTGAGTGGGAATAGAATAAGATATGGATGGATGGATAAATGGATGAATGGCGGGTTGGGTGGGATGGATGGATATGGAATGAGTGGGTGGGTGGATGGATGCGATAAATGGAATGAGTGGGCGGCGGTGGGTGGGTGGATGGATAAAATGGGGATGAATGGGCGGGTGGGTGGATGGATGGATAAATGGATGAGTGGGTGGATGGATGGATGGATAAATGGATGAATGGGTGGGTGGTGGATGGATGGATGGATAAATGGATGAATGGGTGGGTGGATGGATGGATGGATAAATGGATGAGTGGGTGGGTGGATGGATGGATAAATGGATGAATGGGTGGGTGGTGGATGGATGGATAAATTGGATGAATGGGTGGGTGGAGGATGGATGGATAAATGGATGAGTGGGTGGGTGGATGGATGGATTAGAATGGATGATGGGTGGGTGGATGGATGGATGGATAAATGGATGAGTGGGTGGGTGGATGGATGGATGGATAAATGGATGAGTGGGTGGGTGGATGGATGGATGGAATAAAATTTTTTGGTGGAGTGGGATTCACTGGCTGGTGGATGGAATTGGGATAAATGGATGGGGGATGGATAAATGGATGAGTGGGTGGGTGGATGGATGGATGGATAAATGGATGAGTGGGTGGGTGGATGGATGGATGGATAAATGGATGAGTGGTGGGTGGAGTGGAGTGGAGGATAAATGGATGAGTGGGTGGTGGGTGGATGGATGGATAAATGGATGAGTGGGTGGGTGATGGATAAATGGATGAATGGGTGGGTGGATGGATAAATGGATGAGTGGGTGGATGGCTGCACAATGACTCCGCCATGTTTTTGCTGCAGTGCTGTCTCTAGTAACA